TGGCTTAGCTGGTTCTTTTTGGCTAGATATTATCTTGGATTGGTCAATAACGCCATTTTTATGTGAAGTGGCTAGCTGTCCTCATTGCTTGATGGATTTGGTCTTGCGCATGCATTCGGAAATTCTGCAAAAGCCGAATTCGCATCCCTGTTGCAATAGGTAAAAATGAGTCAAAATTATGCTCCCTCTTCATTTGCCTCTCCATTTGTAGCACTTGCGATATCTGGTAGTGGACGTCGGCTTTACGAGAAGCGGAATCCTGGCCGTCGACCCGCTGGAGTTTCCGGAGGCTTGGTCGTTGGCGATCATCCACCAGCTATTTCCGAGCAGCCCACTCCAACTGGCTCCACAGTCAGCCTTGTGACCATCGGGGCCGATGATCAGGCTGGTGGTAATGGGGTTGGCTTGCAGCCAGCAACCAAATGGACTGGTCAGACAGCAAGTCCTGGACTTCCAGGGTTTTCAGGCCCCGGATATATGAGTCAAATCGGGCGATCGGAAGAATTCTATTCTCGACCAGAAGGCCCGCGAAAAAATCGCGTCAGATCTGAGGGTCAGGTAATAACGTCAAAGCACGCTCACATTCACCCACTTGTGCAAGTGGCTAGGCATATTTGTGTACACTCGCCCCTATTTTTTCATCCTTCAACATAGAAGTACTTAATCCCATTTAGAATCATAGCAATATTTTGGCCTACCTATTTTTTGGCTTCCTAGCAATTCACTTTTTGGGCCAGCATACTAATTCCGTGTGAAATCATATTTTTACTCCTCGTGTATCATTGTACGTATTTCCAAAGTTCTGATTCGCCCGTTTTAATAGACTGTTAAACCTTTTCATCCATGCTAAAATAGTATGGCTGTCTTTTAAGAGGCTCTTTAATTGAATGGCATCCTTTATAAGATTACAAGTCAATTTATTTAACTGCCTAACAGTAAGCTAAGTCAGCTCTTCGTAGTAGAGGAATCCTTTTATCGATCTTACTGAAAGCTGAATTACCATTCTCGCCTTCGAAATGCCCACAATCACTAAAAAAATCACCCCTCGCCCTTTTCGGGACCCTTTTAGAGTGATGTCTGTCATAACACAGACATTTTCATGGTAAGATACCTTGTGTTATGAAGACTTTCATTTCGTATCAAACTGCACCACAAAGAGACTTGTTGGTGGAATTCACCAACAGACGAAGGCCGAATCCAATTTTTATGTTTTACTTTGTTTTTAATAAGAAATTCGGGTTGACGCAGTCCACGAGTTATCCTTATTTTGGGCGAAACCGGACTCAATATTCTTTCTTTATATGATAAATATCATCAGAGCTAGAGCTCATTTCCTGCAAAAGTCTCAAATTAGCACTCATTCAAGAAGACTTATTTTTAGTTGCATTCTCAATACTAGTACGATTATACAAAAATTTGGCTGTCAGCCCTTAATCACCTTATGCTATTTAGGATGACCACAGCTCTTATTCAACCCTACAAAATCAGAATGACATGAGATATGCTTAAATATAAGTTTAATTATAATTTGCTATTGATTAGCCTTGGCTTAACCTGATAAGATGGTTGTCTCTTAATGTGTTTGATTTGCCTTGGTGTCAAGTGTGTATATGCGTGTCTTCGTGTCTGAATATTTTCAAGGTAATCTTAATTCTTACTAGTTATAATTTAACGATCTTACTCTGATATGTAATTATGCAAAGCGTAAAATATTTGCTATTGAATTAGGCGCGATTACAGCGTCAAGACTGGACTATGTGATTTATTTACCTCGTACTTACTCGCATCTTAAGACAGTCTTTTGGAATGTTGGATTGAAAATTAAAACTATAACCGAAACTTAATAACCTTTTTCAGTAGCTTTGCCTAGAGCTTGAGCCTTTGGTCTTTTGTGAGGTGTATATGATCTTGCTTTACTTTTAAGAGCTCTGTCACATGACAGGTAACTTTCAGCACAGTTCCACTAAGGACTTATGATGATATTCACATAATTTTGTTGACGTTAAATGCCAACGCAAATACCCAATGTATCGAAGGTCATCTTCCTTCGGCTGCTGATGCGGCATTACCTTATAAATATTTAGTTAACTATTTTGGCTGAGTAAAGGAAAAGTTGTCTTTTCCATACCAACCTTCCGTTTTTACAGAAAGTACTGTGATTGTTCACCTACTAACTATGATTACACCTAAAAGATGGAAGCGTATGATGCTCCTCCAGGTGAACCATTACCTGCTTACCTTATTATCTCTTAAGCTCTGTAAGAAATTCTTGTATTGAAGTCACATGCTTAATTAGTTCAAAGTTGGTTTATTACTAGATTGTTATACCTTTGGGCGGGAAACATTCCCAGACATTTGCCGGTATCGTCACTGAGTCTTGCCACTCTTAGCACC